AAAAAGTGAAATTGAGTACTTAAAATTTCACTTGCCAATGTTCAAAGCTTTTGGGCTTCAGTAACAATGTTTCCATGCATTTTACTTCACAATTTTAGATGCTAATGGCAGCACAGAATCACCCTGAAAAAAGTTTTCTTATTTTTTTGTAAATGTCAACAGGGGATAAGATAATGCACTGAAAAAAAACAAACACCCAGCTGAGATAGAAAGTATGCTTTATGTTTTTTACTTATGTTACTGCAGGTAACATAAGTATTTAAAAAGACACTTTAGGAGTTTCCATCTCCTTAAAAGCCTTTGTGAACTTTAAAGATCTCCCACAATCAACCCTGATGGAAAAATGAAACAAGAGCTGCATGCAGAGGAATAACTGCTCAGTCCTCTGATTCTTCCTCCTGGTGCTTGTGAGTCATGATGTGAAGCTGTTAGCGGCTTCATCAGACCTCTACAGCACACAGCATAGCAAACATGCTGCAGCCACAACTGTCGGCCACATTTAGCCACTTCTGCAGCAGTAAACATAAGAAGAAGCATCACGTGTTCTAGACATTATTATTCAAGTAGGTCTGCTGTCTTTCTTTTCTTTTTTTCATATCATAAGCATATTTTATTTACTGATTTCATGGTGAAAAAGGACACAGCAAAGACCTGAGTAATCTGTTGTGCATTTTCATTCTCCTTTATTCAGATACCCTGCTATAAAACTTCACAATATAGCTGCAATTGCAGTGGACGGTGGTTCTATAAAGTTTTGATTCAGGTGAGTGTTGACCCAGGCATATCTAAAAACAAACAAAAAACAACGTATGGAAACCTTATGGTTCCTATCATCAAAGAAAGGGGCAGAAATGCATCAAGCAACTTCGTGAGAGTTTTGTTTGTAAAAATAATAAAAAATCTTAATACTTCACAGAAAGACAAAATTATGTGTTTTTTTTATCACATTAAGTCACCTTAAAATATATAGCATTTTATTTTTGCAATCTTGCATGTTGCAAAAAAAAAGTTCAGGAGGTTTTAGTGTTTCTGGCCTATAATGTGTACCTGTTAACATACAGTATCATATTAAGCAGTAAGTTTTCAGTACTTCTATCTGTGAGTGTGTGTGATAGAGAAGAGGATACAGGAGAGCAGAGTATTAGCAATATAAGGCAGAGAACCTCTGCTTTGGTTTGTGAATTGGTCTCCTAAAACAAAACGTGACATTTATTCCTGTTTTCAGTTTAAACGTTCACTCTATGCATGTGTGCACTTGTGGATGTGTGTGGCATGCCCAAGGATGTTTTTATTGATTGACTAGTTGTAATGGACAGAAAAGGGGAGATATAAAGGGATGATGAAAGAGGTCCAGCAGCTGAGTGGAAACAAAGGAATCAATCAGCCAGTCCTTTGAGTTTATAAGGAGAAAAGACTGAGATGGAGGGATGAGGGAAAGATGGAGAACAGAGAGGAAGGTCAAAGGAGAGGGCTTGTATAAATAGGAAAGAAAGTTGAACATGGTGTGGGATTGATGAGTACAGGGTCACAAGACAAAAAAGGAGGAATAAAAAAGACACTTTAGGGCAAATAAAAAATGGGAGATATGCAGGCGAAAGCAAAATAACAAACAATACGAAATATGAGCCGAGCAGCAAACAAGTGGTTGTGGGGAAGAGTGGAAACCATGTGACATTTGTGTGTGAGCTGCATGCTAACTAACATACTAATACAGCAAGGTGAAAACACACCTGCATCAGCAACTAGAAAGAAAGGAAGCAGCAGGAGGGTCTGATAGAGGACATCCTTTCCTTCTCCTTGCTTTTATTCTTCCCTTATCCCCAGCGACCATCTTTTTTTTTTGTTTGACCTAAATGTTTTTTTTTTCTCTCTCTCTTTGTCTTAATTCCTGCACCTGGATTCCCTTTTTCTTACCTTTCAAGTGTCCGGTATCATTTTTTCTAGCTTTATTTCCCCCTTTTCCTTTCTCTCCCTCCCTCTGTATCTCTTTTTCATCCAGTCCATGCTTTGATCAAGTCTTCTGTGGTTTACTGTGACTCTACTCCCTCTAATTTATGAAACCATAAATGATATCAGATGCATTATCCATTCCTTGACCTAAATAAACACATAATGCACTCACCCACCCTGCAAAGCAGCGCGATAAGTAACTCAAAGGCAGATTTTAAAGCACTGTGCACAGCAAATATTTTTACAGCGTGACAATTAAGATAGAGAAAAAAAAAAACAGAAACTGACCAAATGTGGTTTTCTTGTTCATAAAAACTGGGAAGGTTGTTTTGTCTATGTGTGCATTTTACTGTGTGCAGAGAAAAGGGGAAAAAAAAACACAGCTTGAAATTGTGAAATATATTAGTGAGAAAATAACCCATTATGGGGGTAATATGATTTATGTTAATTATAAACAGCAAGGGTATTTAAAGTGCCCCTTAAATTGGTTTGTAAAAGTAATCATAAACCTCTAAGCATGAAGGAATTTTAAATACGGTGGTAAAAACAAGTAATGATGCTGCAGTGAGTGAGGGAAACCTGATAATCAGACACTGCTTTGCAGAAGAAAAGACAATTAATTATGATGGCCTAATGGTAATTTGTTATAAATTTGTTTTGGTTGTTGATTTTTGGCGGTGCTCTGTTTGTCCATTATGGATAACCACAATGGCTTTTTTAATGAAATCTGTGTTGATTGAATGGATGAAAATGTTGCATCAATGTTTTTGTCTTCTCTGATGACATTTTCAACCACATTTAAGCTCAACCAGGACAAGCAATCAACATAATTTGCATAGATGTGTTTAATTTAATCCACTATCAGCTTTTTTATTAATCAAACTGAGCTGTTGATGTATCTAAATGAATTATGTTTAAGTCTCACAAAGTTACGCTCAATAGATTCAAGTGATTTCTAAGTTCTGTGTTAAGTTTAAATGAAATCTGATTCATTTTTTTCTTTTACGTTCATGACAGAACTTTTGGTTATTTTTGCTTTAATCTCTTATTTCGCACTTTGAATGCTCAGGTTTGTTTTGTTTGTAAAATTAATATTTTCAAAACAAACAAAAACTTGCACCGTATGCGTTTATTTCAAGCTGTAAAGTACAACTCTTTGCTTAAATTTTATTGGATAGTCTACAGAAATACTGGTAATATAAAAAAATAAAGCTTATTTGTACTTTAGGTAAAAGTTTTATTTAAGCAGCAGATTAACTCATCAGCCCTGTTTGTTCACTGCAGAGAGCAGACAAACAATTTTTTTTCTTTGGGCGTTTAAATACCGGAAACAAAGCATACTTCCTCTTGAAACTTACAATAGATCATTGAGCTCTAGTTGCTCTCAGATGTGCAGTTACATGTTCAGGATGTAAATAAATTCAGCTGAGTCATTGTGATCGTGAAAAACTGGTTGAACTACGTCGTTGACGTCAGTGTTCCCACCTTTAACGTTCTCTCTCCTCTTCTCCAGTACTTTGCCTAAAATCTCCTCCTGCATTCTCCTTTCTCAGGAGCCTGCAGTTGGTTTCCGTCACAGCAAGTCACGCACACACTTCCTGCTTGTCTTTTAGGCTGTTCTCTTGGTGAGGTGGCAACACGTTTCTGTCTGAGGCCAACATCTGTTCACTGCAGAACATGTGGCTGTTTTAGCCTCATTTAACATAGTTTTATAAATGAAATAGTTTGTTTGGGTTTGCCACAAGTTTGCATATGGTTTTAGGAGAATCTCAAGTTTTTAAGCAACTGTAATTTGAGAATCAGAACCTTTGGAAGATGGAAAAGCAACTTCCAAAACATTTTGTATTTCTTATCTATCTTTTTTTTTTTTTTTTTTTTTGAGGACCAAACTCCAAATCCAGTGTACTTTACTGTGTGTAGTGTATCATTGTGGCATATCGTGTTAAAATTTCCGATATATGCATTATTTTTTTTCTCTCATCCTTCTTTAACTGATCTGTAACTTCGGGATAAAGATTGGCTCTAAACAAAATATGAATGTGGCAATGCCACGAATGTATAATTTTCCACTTTTATATCAAGACCTTTCTTGCCTTCTTACTCTTTCGTTCTTATCTCTGCTGACTCATTCATTTCAGAAGTTTATGGTTCATAATGCCTTTCAGAACATAAAGCAAATCTCTGTACAAAGTTTACAATACTTGGTCAGATTTTACAGAATAAATCAAACACAAGAACAAGAGGAAGATTCACAATTTGAAGAACAAATACAGACAACAATGCAGTCTGCTCCACAGATAAACATTTCCTCAGCCGACAAAAGAAAACTAATCACCTTAGGACCTCTTGGGTAACTTTGCTCGGAGACACAGGGGGATGTTGCAGAATAAATGCATAATGCAACCTCTGCAGTAACTGTTGGTTCCTGTGACACATTTTCTGACTGCATCTGTTGGTTTCAGTGTTGAACCTCTAAATGTGGAAGTCTCATTATCTCTAATGAGTGGCTGTTGAAAGATGAAGAGCTGTTGATGAGAGCTCCTTCTGACTCAGACAGTGAACAGGGTAATGATATACAGTATTGGCCACATGATGGAGGCTTTTATCCAAAGTGCCTTGCTGTGCTTCGCCTGCATGCATATTTTAGAAAGGGTAGCCCAAGGGGAACTAGCTAAACCTCGAGTTCTAACAATGTGACTCTTCACAAAAAAACACAAACTACAGCAGCATGTATCAAAGGTGGAGCAGGGTTACTTTTTATACTTGGGAGCATGTTTCAAAGAGTTACAGGGGGGATATAAATTTCTTTGTTTTGATACAAAACTGCAAAGGTGCATATTTGTTCATATCTCACAGGAGATCTATCCAACTGTGATCAGCAGCTCCAGATTTATTCTGGGTTCATGTTTCAGAGAATGACTGGCTTTTTTTGCGTGTATGCATGCGTGTGTGTGCGTGAACTCTGTTGTGTCTCAGAAAACCCAAATGCCTGGGAATTGTGTGTGAATTTCAGTACTGATGTGAACATTCTCTTTTTTTCCCATCTTCAGTATGGGGAGGAGGAGGTGTGTTCGGACCGCTTGGATACAGACTTCCCTGACATCGACCTCTCCCAGCTGGACACCAGTGACTTCGACAGCGTCAACTGCCTCAGTGAGCTGCAGTGGTGCACTGATCAGCCAGCGGATGTGTCACCAGCCTCCATCCACTACAGTACGGCAGATGAGCTCTTTGAGGTGAGCTTTCACCACCAAAGGGAAGTTCATGTAATCTCCAGTTGAGTCATGGACTGGGACATCAGCGTAGAATGCTTTTATAATGGCATAATTTCATTTTATTATATGACCTAATGTGTGCTGTTGCAGTGTCAGTCAGTAAATATCAGTTGTACAATAGTGCATATTTTTTCTGTCACAAAGACAGACTGTTTCTGTATGAAACAACAATGAGGTCAAATTTCCCATTATGTTTCTGTTTACCAGATGATCTGCAGATCATTTCTTCAATAGTCATTGTCCAATTAAGTTCCTTTTGTTAAATGAGAACATGTTGAAATCACAACAGTCCTGCATCTTTCCACCCGATGTTCAGGTTAAACACTTTTATATTCTGCATCCAAACTACTGTCGTACATTTTATTTTACTCTTATTATTATTCTTTTGAAATATCTTTCTTCATTATGACCTGGGAGGGTCTGACAGGAACATTGAGGAGTTTAGAAAAAGGTGTACAACCTAAGCCATTGCTGTGTTTTGCAGCAATAAGGTGAAGAGAGCTCTTCCTTTCTTTTTACCCATTATGAGATGACTCTTGTGCAATACTCTGGGAATAGGAAAGCTTTTCATAGGCCACAAATTAGTATCAAATCAGTTACTATTAATTTGCATTGAAGCGGTTGGGATTTCTTTCTAATAGATTTTAGTGAGTTTTATGGCTTTCTCTGCCTTTTTGCATCTTCTTTTCTTCATGTGTCCATTGCTTATTACCTCAGTAATTCCATCAAGTCTTGTGAATTTTAGGTTAATAGCTTTATAAGAAATTGAATTTTTGAGAAAATTGGTGTGTTTATGCTTTTTATTCCTTGCTAGCCCTGTACTTTAATGAACTAAATTGCAGACTTTATTATGTTACTTCACTTAAACATTGTGTACTGTGTTCTTGACCTCCAGTACAACTTACGCAGTCGCCAGAGCATTCTGTTTGTTGACACGTGCAATATCCCAGCCTTTCACTTGATCCTCATTCTGAGACTCAGACATGCCGCAGGCCTCAGAGGGCACTGCCAACAAAACTGATTCCCATTTACACTGTGTAACCTGATAATGGAGGCAGTCCACCAGTTTGGACTGGCCAAGTGCTTCTGCAAGGGGCCGGCGACAACTTTCAGACTTCAGTTTCCAAGGGGCCCTTCCTCCAGGAATTCGAAGAATCCCCATCTTGATTTTTCCAAATCTAAAAGCCAATTCTTCATAATTACCAGGTGAGGTGTTGTGGTCTCATTACAAAGGATAAATTGAGTGCTCTCTGCGAATACAAAGACACAACTGAGAACATAGCCTTTTGGTGCATTGGGTCATGTAATCCAGCCCTGCAGTAGAAATTGCTCTGATCCTGCGATGCACCGCGGAGTGTTGCCTAAATGAAGGCAGGCCAAGGCATGATGGGAATGCAGGTGAAGTAAACAGCTACTATGTCTGTCTTTACTGTTTGTATCTGAGTGTCTCAGTCTTTATCAGCACTTTGATTCATTCTAGCTGGCACCATGTGAGTGCCTATTCATTGCAGACACAAAACAGATCTTCAACGGACTTAAAAACAAAAGTCCACATTTTGCATACATTTTGTATTGTCCTCATCTCCTTAATCATCTTCAATAACCTTTCATTTGACTTTTAACTTAGTATAGATTCATTTAAAGTATAACTTTAATATGCAGGGTCCTGGTTTCACTTTGTCTAATCTAGTATGAAAATGCTGCATTTCTATTTATTTATGTATCTGCCATTGCTTTACTTTTATCAATTAAACTTTTGTTTTTACATTTCATATCTCATTTGTTCATTCCTCTAATTTTGTCTTTTTACACTTTAAATTTGCACCGTTCAAGCCCAGTATTTTGTACCTCTGTGCTTATTCGGCGCCTTTCCCTATCACAATTTGGCAGTATAGTATATCAACGTTGCAGACAGTCAGGCATCATTTCATTATCTCTGAATACAGTGATAAGAACACAAATGAAGCTATTGTCAGTGTATCATTTATGCCTCTGCTTCTTGTCAGTTGATTTCTTTATAGCAGCATATTGGAATTTAATCCCATGTTGAAAGTTATTGATCACATTTCTGTGGGAAGACTCAATATAACCTTGCAGACTAAATCAAAGAGATTGTTTCTAAAGGTTAGGGCAATTAAAACTCATCATTTGTTTTAAACTGAAGCAATATAGATGCCTACATAATACATAATTGAGATGTTTTCTATATTTTTTTTGTATCAACCTTTCTTCGGATAAAATATATTAATAAAGAAATCTCACCAGTGCAAAAACCATTTTTGCTATTTTTGTGTCATACCAAAGTTCTCTGGGCCTTTTGAAGAAAAGCAGACCCACAGCATCACATATCCTCCACTGTACTGATTAGCGGAATGAGATGATTTTCTATGATTTATCCTCATCTGGCCAAATGCAAAGTCCCAGATTTTTTTTCACCTCCTTTAATGTCTTTCTCACTGTTTGATGGAACGTTAAACTTGTTCCTGTTATTTCAACTTCTAAATTATTGCTCTGATTGTAGAAATAATTCGTTGTTTATGACTTACAGAGATCCTCAAACATCTGACATGTCTTTTTGTTTTTTGAAGAGTTGGCCATGTGTTACAGCATTTTCATATCCCCAGTTATATCTGAACAATTGGAAGTTTTCAATCAACTTAATGTATAAATTGCATAGTTTTATAGTAATAGGGACTGTTTGGGGCTGCAGTAAGTGTATATAAGTCTGGAGAGCTCTTAGTCACATTGAAGTCAAAAGAATGTCATTGCATAATTAAATTTACTAACCATAAAAAATAACCAAATAAATAATTGTAATTTACACTATAGTAACTCCCAAGACAATTATTATTTGATTTTTTGATTTATTACGACATTTTAAAGTATTTATTTTATTTTCCAAATTCTGAAAAGTAGCTTCTGGCACAGAGGTAGAGCGGCTTGAGACAATGAATACATTTTATGATAAATACTTTGGCAGTGAGGGACATATTAAGCTGGATGATAAAAGTTAGTGGCTTCCTGCAGGCCAGCCGTGCTATCGCCTCTCCTCCAGACGCAGCTCTCAGCAAGATGGCAACGCCTCATCTGTGAACTCCTCTTTGTGCTGGTGTACTGGGATTCAAAAAACAAACAAATGTTCAAACTGAAGTCTTTTCTGCTACTTTCACTATTGTCTTCATGTTTGAAAACTATAGGAAACGTAAAACAGATGAGCAAGAGTTCAAACTGAGCCACACCAGTCATGATGAATTCAAAGGAATAAAAATCCTGTTTTAGCAGAACTTTGTTTTTCTCAAGATGACCAGACTGATGTTCTTCTGGATAAATGTCAGAAATCAGAGAAACTGTTAACCCAAACTGATTAGTGCGTAGAGAAGGCTGATCAACAAATGTCTGCACGTAAAGAACAAAAGTTCATTTTCAGTCTCAAAATGTGGATAATGGGTATAAATCCTTCAAAGACGTTCTATTTTCTGTCCCTCTTTATGACTTCATGATGAAAATGTTTGCTATGTTGTGGATGCTTCATCGGTGATGATTACAGGGTGGGGTGAGATGTGAAAGCAGTTTTGATCCAAATGCTGAAAATCCTTGCTGGAACCTGATTCTGTTCTGCTTAGAGACTAAACTTTAAACCTTTTCTACCCTTTTGCACTTGAGAGTAAAATACCCATTTTGAGTTTATTAGAATAAGTCAGATATCTGGTTCACCAACATATATAGAGAAAAACTAAGGCCGAACATTGCAATTGTGAGCAGAATGAGTATTGAAAGGAGAGGGAATAAAATTTACTGTTAGGACCAAATAAGGGACTATTTGCCAGTTTTTTGACTGACTGACTGACTGGTTGACAGATATTTAAGAAACATTTCCAAGAATCCATTTCAGTCTTTTTCTGTGTTGCTTTGTTGCATTTTCTTTTCTCACCTTTTTTTTCTCTGTGTCCGCAGATAGAAGAGGAGAATGCGGCTCTACTGGCCGCTTTGACAGACAGTTTGGATGGCATGGTGGATGCTGAGGTCGGTGGGCTCTCTGTTTTTCCAACTCTGGAAGAAGAGCCCAGTCAAGAGGAAGAGGAGGAGAGAAGTCTTCCTCTGAGTGCCGAGGACTTCAGTCAGTCACTGGGGGCCGAGACAGAGGACCTATCTCTTGTAAGAACACCTGTTAAATTAAAGTTATATTCATTTTGGATACATTTTGATAACAATATTATGAACAAAAGCATCACTTTCATCTTCCTGCCATTTAGTTTACAGCACACCTTTGAGTGCCTGTTTGAGAACATTAATGCTACCCTCCTAGTTCTGTTTACAAAGATCTGAAAATCAAAAGTCCCCTGCAGCTCAGAAAGCGACTTCTGTCAGAGTGGGTCCTTTAATTCGGGCTTCAAACGCCGTCTATCCCCTCCTCACCCTTTCTGTGACGTGCCTCTCCTTTCCCATGCTCCCCCACTTTCTTTCTCACCGGCATCCTAATCTTCATGGCGCGTCGCACCTTGATGTTCCCCTCAAGTTGGCCTGCGAGGTTCAAAGTCTGCCTTTAACTCCCCAAAAAACAGAGCAGTGCCAAGGCACAAAGTAACCTTTCAGAGAGCCTGGGCTGCTGTAGTTTCAATACTCAAGTATCTCTTCAAGGAAAAGGAAGAAAGTTTTCAGAGAAGGAGGGTACATGCTTCAACCTGTTAATTAATCATCAAAATAAACAGAAAAATATATTGCAATACAGCAGGGTGACATGCGCTGAATTTGCATGTCAGTTTAACTGTTTGGATTTAATAACTGAAATAAACTAACTTTTTCAACGATATTCTATGTTGATTCTAAGTTAGGATTCAGCTGTATGTTACTGAGTAAAGACTGTAGAAGCATAATAAATGTTAAAAGACAAAGCAAAAGTGATAAAATATCCCTTTTGAAGAATTAAGGATTGCCATTGACAATCAGAACATGTTTGGATTGGGTAACAATCACACCTGCTTGTTAGCACAGTAATATAAATTCTTGTGATTGTGTTGCTCATGTGATTGCCTGTTTTCAAGCCCTCTTTTCTCTTTTCACACTGTGTTGCTGCATGCCTCCTTTCATCGTTCCCTGACCCACATTTCTGGGAACAAACCGTGTTTTCCTCTTTTCACCCTGGCTTCTCCCAGCCTGCACCTGAGCACACCCCCATCCTGTCATACAGGAGCAACAAATTGTTGTATCCCTTTGCAGGGAATATTGTCGTCCATTTTATTTTGTGTTGACTCAGCTGTCAGAAGAATGCAGCTTTGTACTCGGCTCTGAAGCCTAATTAAAGAAGGAAGCTATTTCACTGCCACAAACTACTTATGATTAGCGCTGTAATGTGGCCTTATTGCACTTGTCGAGTTGATTCCACCCTGCGTCCTTAATTTGACTTAAATTTTACAGCATAAGGGTCTGTGTTTAAGGTCCTCTGAGTAAGTGCCAGTCAACAAAGAGGACTTTGTCTGGCAGTCACGAGTCAAGTTGGGGATGGCTGAATACCTGCAGCGTCAATATTCACCAAGCCGCTCTGCAGGAAAGATTTGCTAACCTCTTTTATATTGAATGGGTTCATTTATAATCCAGTCCAAAAGAGCAAAGCAAGAAATGTTTGTTGGTTTGGATCTTAGATTCTTCCCATTTCTGTGCCAGTGTTGTGTTTTTTGTTGTTGTTGTAGAAAAAAGGCCTGTGCACCTCTTATTTTTGTTAATTAGCCTCCGTCCATTTTAAAGTGCTCTTAAAAGATGGTGAACCAATAATTACAAATAATCTCTAGCACCATAGGGAACAGTAGGTGAAAGTTAAACAGGGCTAAAGGATATTATATTCAAACAAATTTGTGATTGGCTGCCACATTGTTAGACAATCTGAAAAGAGAAAAGCAGAAAGTGAAGTTTTACTCGGTGGACTGTAAGTCTAAAACTAAAAGAGAAGCTCCTGCGCTAAAACTGAAACAATTAAACTTAACTGCAGTTTATGTGACTTTTATTTGAAGGTGTTCAGTTTATTTGAGGGTATTCAATTACAATGCATGGTAGTGGCAGCTTTATGCTGTAGCACTGTTTTGCTGTCTGTATAAATAGTGTATCCCACATTTCCAACACAGTCTAATATAAATCACTGATTTAAAAGTAGGCAAAATTCTGCTATTTTCTCTAAAGGCATTTCTCTCTTCCATTGTGACATCTCCACTCTTAATGCTAATAATTAATAAGCTGTCAAAACAGAAAGGCTCCTTAAGCATACATACATAATAAAGGAGTGAATGGAATAATAATCTCACACAGTGCACTACCTCCAAACTTGTTCACAAACGTTTTGTGCAGAACCATTTAAAAATGTTTTGATGCATGTCTACCATGTTAAATTTAAATTTAAGATTAGTAGGTTTTTTTAAAAAAGTTTTGGTTATTTTATTTTATTATTATTATTTTTTTTTATTGAGGCCTAATATGACATTCATGCCCATTAAAAATATGTATGTTTGTGAACTTCTGAAATGAACTGCCTGTCATTATAGTGTCAGTGAAAAACATTTCCAAAAAGTCAAACCTGGCAGCAATAACAATTACTGTGTGGACTTTCTAAGCTTGTAAAGCAACGGCATCCAGCAAAACATCAGGACACAGAGGGGACTGTCCTGCAACAGTCTGATAAATGGCATGAAGGTATTGTTTTGGTCTAAATAAAATGTCAGCAGTACAGAGAGTTCACACTTCCAGATGGCATTTTCTTTTATTTTATTTGCTGTTGTGTAGGGAAAAAAAACACAAATGTCCTCGTTTATCTTTGAAATCAATTATCAGTTGATGTGTGTCAAAGCAGGCGGGTTACTGAGTTACCCATGTCTCTGTTTCCAGACTTATGGAGCAACAGAAAGATAACAAGGGTCAAACCAGAAACAGATGCTCATTCGGGTTCAAAGATACACATTTTCTCCGTGTGTACCTTAAATGTTGATGTGAACTGCATAATTTTGTACAAATTTTGCACTTTCCTCAAATCCCCTTTTTAAAAGTTCATTTACCATAACTTATCCAGCACCAAAACCTCAACTTACTTATGCACTCAAAACACAGAGCTGTAAAAACCTATTCTCTCCCTATGGATTCAACTCTGACAACTTGGCTCTGTTTCTTTTTCATGGTAACCGACAACTCTCATACACACTTCTCTCCTCTCCACAAACTCTTCTGCAGTTTCTGCTCCTAACCTGACTCTGAATCCGTTTGTCACAGGCGTAACTTTTTCTTCTACCTGCAGGCAGGCAGTTTGTGACGAGTCAGTTAAGACCCATCGCTTCTAGGAATTTCATTGCCTGAAATCATATCATTTGAATGCAGAAAGACTGGTAAACTGCACACTTTTCATAGCTTAGTTTGAGATGCTACAGCAAGTTTTCCTATCATTCCTCAACCCTCCAAAGAGGTTTTTGGTGCGGCTGTTCAGATTGCAGTGTCTCAAAAATCCCTGATGCAAATCCAGCTGTGATGTTTAGCACCCCTGGAAAAAAAGCAGGATATTTCGCTGTACTAAATATAAATCATATCATCCTGAATCCTGACTCTGTTTCCACTAAGTACACTATCAGTGGCAAATATAGCAACCTGACATTCACATCCTCTCACACAGAAAAGCCTGCTGTAATAACATTAGGACTTTACTCAACTATGTGCCAGATGTGTGTGGCCGTGTGTGTGTGTGTGTGTGTGTGTGTGTGTGTGTGTGTGTGTGTGTGTGTGTGTGTGTGTGTGTAATTCATCCCTTCCTTCCATCAGTTGAGTGGTTTACTGTCACGTGTTTACTGTCACTCATGTGCTCAGGTCCGAATGTGACGCTGCCCTCTACTGTTACGTGCTGGTTCAGCAGATGTCCTCACTGAACCTTCTAGTGCTTGTTTGCCTGTCTGCTCACTGTCTGTGCTCTTAATGCTCTCGGTCAGCGCTTCTCAATTCTGGTTCTCACACCCCCTGCCCTGCATGTTTTAGGTGTTTCCCTTCTGCTAAACACCTGGATTGAATATGCGGGTTCAATCCATCCTTCTGCAGTACTTGATGTTTATGCAGTCATTTGAATCGGCTGTTCTGGATTAGAGACACATCTAAAACATGCAGAGGAGGGGGGCCTGAGGACTGGAATTGAGAAGCACTGCTCTATGTGTAATTAATCTGGAATAACTGCACACATTTTATTTATAATTGCACATCAAAGTTTTTATGGACTAAAAAATAATAAAGAAGAATATAGTAAACATTTTGTACTATTTTTATCTCCAATGAGAAAAAAAACATCAGTGAGAAAGTTAATTTATTTAAGCAGTTTAATTTAAAAAGTAATACAGCTATATTGTGGTACACAGAGTGGTGTTTCTAAAGCATCTCTTAGAAAGTTTGAATATTTTAAAGATCATTAAATACATGATTTATATAATGTTCTGGACAAACTTTTGCCTACACAAACATTGGGAAGATTATTGACAATCAACAGCCCCGACATAGAATTAAGGCGAAAAATAAAGAAGCTGACTGTCCACTGTATTCAACGTTTTAATGTGAAGTTGAGTGGAATGGAAAAGTTGAAAATTGTGCACATGCAACCTCTGTAAAACCCATTTAGGAATGGGATGACATTAACCTGCACCAACAATGCTTCTGTAACATCTCAGCAGAGCCAGAGGCTGGTCACCTCCACCTGCACTGCACAGATGCAGTGATTAAATTGAAAAGAGCCCCAACCAAGTATTTAGTGCACAAGACACTGTGAAGTACTTGGATAATTTTTAAATATTTCTTCTGTCATAAACATTTTGTTTATAATGTGTTATTTAAGTTTTCTAAGGAACTCAGTGTTATGGTCTTTTAGCTATAGTCCAAATTCAGAACAGTCAGCCATAAGTCTTGATTATCAAGATAAACAGAATGTTTTTTTTTTAAATTGTATATTCAATGACATGTATCTAAAATGCAAAACTTTGTTTATTTTAAGAATTTACTTTGGAATAGACTAAACTGAATGGGTTGAATGAATGAATTTCAAGCCAGAATTATTCATTATTGAAATTCTTCAGGGACTAGCAACAAAATAAATGAAAAAACATATAATAATAATAATAATAATATAATAATAATAATAATAATAATAATAATAATAATAATAATAATAATAATAATAATAATAAATTGCATGACTACTAATCAGGGATTGTGTTTGGACAAACACATTTATTTATCAAATGTATGTATTCCTATCCATCTTGTTTGAGTAAGTGATTAAAAAGTTGTATGCTATCAAAAAGATTATTTTGATTAAAAAAACATTGTTCTGTCGATGCACATTATCTTTTTTCTTTGGTGTTGGTTTTCTGCCAGATTGCATTTCATAAAATTTGTTCATGTGTGTCTGTGATTCCCTTTGCATTTTTCTTTCATCACCTGGGTTTGCAATTCCACTTCCACTTTTCCTGTATGTGTGTGTTCCACCGTAGAACAAGGCCTCTATTGATGATGCCAGCGCAGTTCTGGAAAGCATCCAAAGCGGAGTGGAGTACAAGAGTGGGCTATACTGTTAGGGAGGCCCCCATGCCGTCAAAGAGTTTGCAACGTTTCACACAGACTCAAACCTTCAGTCTACTCTTCAGTTTCCTCAATGGCACTCTCAGAGGAGCATCATCACATACTCTAAGCCAAGTTGGCTCTCAGACAAAGGGCCGCAGTGGCCCCATTACCAGCGCAGGCAATCGTCCCATTTCAGTCAATTGACCCAGATAGTATTCTTTGGTGGCAGCCAGCGCTGTTGGGTGGTGATGTTGTGTTCATTAAAGCATTATAGTACTATAACAGTGATGAAAGTTGTTTATAACTTGACTCAGGGCTCAACAGTTTTACAGCATAAACCGATAATATAAATATGTCAAATTTTGGTGCACTTTTAAACCCAATCCCTTTAAAAGCAGTTCTACCAGTAATGTTTCAAATTACTTTCTCATAAAGATGTTACTATAAAAAGCCTATAATTACATTTTTTTTTACCGTGAAGCACTTAGTGACTGCTGTCTAAGAAAGGTGCTAGATAAATTAAATTTATGTACTATTTACTCAGTATAAATCGTCACTACCAACTCTTCTCATTTCCATCTATCTCATTTTATTAAATATAGCTAGCTAATCTGTGACATAGTGCTGACGTCTAAATTACAGCAGCTGATTATTCAAAAATGTTTAATAAGTAAATTAAGAACCCCCCAAAACAAATGTTATACTATTATTAGTACTTTTGTGTTTATTTTTTTTTTCACAAATTAATTGTTAATTATTAAGTATAAAACATATGAAGCTGTGTTTTAGTCATGCTTCTTTCCTACTTAAGAACATTTTCTGTGGTCTCTGACAATGCAGAAACCTTTAAAAAAACATTTAAAGAACATTATAATAATAGGGAAGAGCCCAATATATCAACATTTCACATCAATCTAAAGTGTTCAATCATAAAAACGTTTTATTAAATAAACAAAATGCAATGCCATGATTTAATTCTAGAGTACTAACAATAATTCAGTGTCATTTTAATATCCCTTGTAGTCATTTTGTCACATTTCAGCCATGACAAAATTGCTGTATTTGCAATGGCTTTGTGTGAAAAGCAGCTTTTATTGTGAAGTTCAAAAAAACAAAATCCAAGGTCTTCATATTTTCTAACAAATACAATTCTGAAACTGCAGTAGTATGTATTGCCTCCTGATGCAGTACTCTGGCTATATTTCCAGGTGTTTTCTATTTTTTTTTTTTCTTTACTGTCTTTCCAGAGATGGGTATGTTATAAAGGACATTTTTCTACTGTCCTTTCTAACAAAGCCAGCTCACCTGTTTTTTCAAATTCCTTAAATTGCAACAAAAAAAGTAAAGGATCCTCCTTCATAACATTATTAGCTTTAAGGAAGGCATACAAGTAACACTGTTCCTGTGAGAACTACTGCATCAAAACGTGATGCTTGACTGCTTTGATACATCTATATAAATTGCCCTAACCATTTCCCAAGTGATTCAGACCCCAGATATTGCTGAATTGCCCCCCACTTTAGGTCGACCGTCTTTATAATGGGTCCCTTTAAATCCTCGTTCCTATCATTTCTGTATTTTCTGCATCATCTTTTGGAGCAAAGGCTGCAAAGCTTAGAGGGGGATTTTCTTTCTAAGCTGATTTATATCAGCTGATAGGGCTGCCATGAAGCCACGCTCAGGATTGAACGGATGAGTACACAGATGGAAAAAACGTAATGAAAGGATAGTTGGAGAAAGAGAAGTGGTTGTGGTAATATCCATTTCAAAGGTAATACCCAGGGAAGGTCTAAGGAGAGGTTTCCTATGTTTTATGCCTTAACTTTGGCTTTGTGTTTGATCTGGAACAACAAAAAGATGGGACCAAGAGGATGGGATGTTAGAAAAGAGGGCAGAGTTGATGTGACAGTTTAGAAGTTAAGATAAAATATGTAAGGGTCACACAGGTTGATTTAGAAAGGAGTCACAAAGAAATCAGATACAAATCAGGATTATGTATGAATCAAACAAGAAAATGTTGAATAGGTAGAGAATGATGGAGAGATGATGGAAAAACAGGAGAAACTGAGAACTGAGGGAGAAAGAGGGGCACTGGTCACGCCGTATTATTAGGGTATCTAGAAAAGAACAACTGGATCTGGCTCTTTAATAGGAAACGTGAATGTGCCATGTAGCTGTCGGCTTTAGTGGTATGATAAATGTACAGTATCATGACCTTTTCTACACATTATTCCTTTATACAAACATCCATCTGCAGAGCATTAACGCCTGACAGAATTTAGATTAGAAAGTGCAGTGAAAGGCCAAAAGAACTGAATGTTGAATGCTTTATGTCAATGTGAATAGTTTTTTCTACTCCTGTTCTATTTACTAACCCTACTTTTTAAAGTATATAATTCACTATCTTTGCATCCTAATTATTCTGCCTTAATGTGTTTCCATCTAATGATCCAATGTAGAAAAAAGATATATATTTATGCAAAAATTAAATTTAATGATAATGTTATGCCCTATGCAATCATAGTAAAGACTATTAACGTGAAAGACGTCCAGTACATGATCACTGACATCCTTCCATAGAGGTCAAGTCACAAAAGGTCAATGCTAAGGAAGTTTACTTTTCACATTTTGTTGCATTTCATGGAAAGTTGTCAGGAATGAAAAACTGTGGTAGAATAACATGAACAAGCAGCAGTGGGATTTAAGAGTTTGCTGTAGATTTGTACGGTTGGACTGGCATGAGGCATTAGCAAAAGCTATTGCATAGTTGGGCTTCACAATATCAGGGAAATGTTGTAAATTTGACACGTTTGCTAAGTATCACAATGACAATATGATTATTCTACATATTTTCTTTCTTCAACAGTTTCCTGTCCATTTTAGGCAAGCTTTACCACCTTCCCTGGAAAAATATATATATTTAGTGTGATCATCTAGGGAAATCAAAGTCTGTTATTGTGTAGTATACTAAAAAATATTGCTTCTAAGCAGTGCTTTGCAATTGCACATTGATATTGCAATGTCTCTGGCCATCAACCATAGTCATCTAATTTACCATGCCTAGTATATATATATATATATATATATATATATATATATATATATATATATATATATATATATATATATATATATATAATAACTTATAACATCTGAACCATATCTATTAAGGCATTCTACTTACTAAATATTAAGAGAGCATCCTGATATCTTATGTATTTTTTTATGCAGCTGAAGAAGTTGTTGTTGACTCCTCCCAATGTTCCAAGCGGCATCGACGTGCATAAAGATGGAGTCCAAAGCCATCGCTACAGCAACAGAAGTCTGCGCCTACGGCCAGTCAGACCTCTGACTAAGGTGAGGTGTGAATTACTGTGAATAAGTGACAGGACAATATGATATCATACATATAAAAACTCTATCATGAGTTTAGTAAAAAAAAATACCCACTTTCCAGCAGACTGAAGTAGAACAGAAGCAAAAACACACAGATGCACATTTCACTATTCGCTGCATGATGCCTCATTCCGTGTCCTCTGAAAGCTGGTGAGATAACAAAATTGGATTTTTCCAATCACTTCCTTTCAGGGTGGCAAGTTGAGGCAAAAGTAATTTACAGCTATATGTAGTGCTTGCAGTCAGTATCACTGCAACTGCAGGAGTTGTGTTTTAACATGTGTCTGCATTAATTTGTTTTGCATAGTCTTTAATGCACAGAAATGATTCTTAACTTAAATCTGTATTGGATTGTTTTTGGTCATTGGTGAGGATTAAATATTTCTAGCAAAAACGTTGCTCAATGAGGGTTAGACATGGAAACTTCTTCATCACTTGCAAAGATATAAAACCAGATACAAATTTCAGACATAAAAGTTTTTCGTGCATGACAGTCAGCAGAAACAGACGGAACAATTTTCAGGATTTGTGTGCTCAGTAGCATCCAGAAACAGATTTTCTTATAAGGTCTCTGGCAGCCTAAGGAATTTCACTACATTTTCTCCACTTCTTTATGAGTTATTCAATAAGGATAAAGACCCAGCAAATGTTTTTGTTTCTGCTTTGAAACAAAAGTTTCACAATGAAATGTAGAGTCAAACAAACAAAACAGATGCTTGTAAGTGATGCTGCTTTAGATGTTACGTTTTATTGCTCAAGTGTTTCCATGCTGCATTCTATTTGACTCAGTAATGAAAACGCCTCACCCACTTTGACCATTTCCAGCTGAAGTGCTAACAACTATTAGCCATGCAATCTGATAACAAAGTATCTCTCTCTGTCATGTACATATAGATATTAAAGGAATGTATGTATCAAATGTTAGGCTGTGCAAATATTTCTGCATAGTTGTGTTTTAGACTTGGGGTAGTTACAGCAAATCTTGAGAACTTGAGTCCAAAGTGTCTGTTCTCTTTTGCCACCATGGATTCATCGCATTGTTCTACATTTGTTTCTTGTCTGTATGTTGCTTTATATAAACAGAAGTTAGTGTTTTAGTGTGGTAATTAGTTTTAGAAGCATCATTAAAATCAGGCTGGAAAAAATTTGACTTTTTCTGAAGTACTTACAGAACTTCCTAACAGTTTAATATTTGGACTTGAAAATATGGTGAGTAGTGCGTTTTTTAATTTTTTTATTTATTTTTTTAACAACCACACGAACATCCCTTCTTCAATTGGCTTCTACCAATTGAAGAAGGGACACAGGCATGGTAAAAAAAAATTATCAAATAAATCCAGCCAGACTGTAAGTAAAAAGAGGCTTCAGGACAATCTGGTCTCCTCAGCACACGTGGAGGCTTTAATGCGTCTCCTGACAGCTCTCAGATACTCCATTATGTTTACAAAAATGGGAAACAATATCAAAGCTGTCCAGAATGTAGCAGTAGTACGTCCCGTATGGTGACAGATTTTATTTTCCTAGTGATAGATATTTCATTTTAGAATAAAAACCCTGAGCCGTCAAGCTTGCAGAGACCTTCAGCTGCTGCTTGTGATAAATGTAGTGTTGGGGATGAGAGGACATCTACAATGGCTACTGCTGTATGACGTAGGAGTAATTGGATGGCTGCTAGCATTGTGCTTCAAGTGGTCATTGATTACAACACTGGTCATTTATCTTGTACAAGCATAGGGAACGGGAAGCCTTCGTGCAGGTTGTTGCCTAAGTAATCAGCATACAGGAGGAAGCTCTGGAAGAGCCTGGCCTGTGTCTGTCACAAGGCCTTCTTAAAGTCACCGTTGATGGAAGTATTGACTGACAGGGCAGAAGGGCAACAGTGAATCACATTCGCTCACTCTATTCTTTATCTGTATGAGTAATACAGATCAGCCATTTTATTGCAGCTGCAGACTGAATCATCCCTCACGAAGTCGGAAGGAAAATTTACTGCTGTGCGCGATGATCATGTATCCAAGGCAGGAAATTGAAAATAGTCCTTTTTTTTCCAGTTTTTCTTTAAGGGTGTATTCACACCAGCCCTGCTTGATCTGCTTTATTGAGCTACATTGTGTTTGCACAGAAAGTTCGGTTTGCTTGGGGTGATGTGAATGTGCAATTGGACTCTGATGCAGACTGAAAAGGTTCCATCGAAAAACTTAGGTCTCAGTTTGGTTGAAGATAAATCAAATTACAGACCAAGTTGACCAGAGACCCCTCAAAAAGCAGAAAGTGGACTGACCCCCAAGGCTGCCTGGGAAAATACAATCAAAACAAATGTAAAATACAAAAACTCAAACTTAATGTTAGAATGGAGTATTTCAAAGCAAACTCCATAGTACAATATAACTCTCATATGTTTACCATAACGTCATACAATAGTCATTGTCAGTTTGATGACAAATCTAATCTTACTTACTTGAGATAGAAATCTCTTATTTTATATTTAAATAATTGTTCAAGGTATATTTATGTTTGGCTCCTAAATATTATCTTTGTCTTCCCCAGAGCGACCTCCCTTTAGAGCGGAAGCCCCGAGCGGTGCGTCCCACGAGTCGCCTGTGCACCGAACTCCACCGCCACCTCACCACGGCGCAGGACACTGAGGACGCTCCGGTTCACGACACCGACGAAGGCGAGGAGGAAGAGGAGGACGAGGACAGTGAGTCGGAGGAGGATGAAGAGGAGGAAGGGGAGGAGGAAGAGGAGGAGTCTTCCAGTAGCGAGGTCGAGGGTGCAGTGGCAGCGGCCGCTGGCCCTGCAGAGCCCACTGCGCCTCAGTTCAGCTCAGAGAAAGAACTGCAGTCCGTTGTTGAGCTGATCACGTACATGCACACATATTGCCTGCCCATGCGCAAGCAGCAGGGTTGGGACCGCAAAGACAGAGACCTTTCAAGGCAGCGGACCAAACCCGACGTCCCCCGCCCAGCCAACACAAACTCTCACAGCAGAGTTGTACTGGTTAGCGCTTCTGGGACTAGTGGGAGCTTGAATGGGACGAGCAGCAGCAGCAGCGCCCCCAGAAGGCTTCCCTTCGCCAGGCGAAGGGAGATGAAGGCTAACTCCCTTCTCCGTGAGCTCTTGCAGCAGAGCAGCTCCTTTGACGTGAGCAAGCCTTACAGACTGCACAGCCCACCTTACGCCCACTCACACAGTCCCAGCAGGGCCACAGCCTCTGCTCCTTGTGCTCCAGCTAATAAATGCCCCCCAGCCCAGTCCTTCAGCTCCATTCTCCCTAAGCCAGAGCTTTTGAAAGACTCTTCCTCACTGGAGAGGAGAAACTCTTCCTCCGAGCTGCAGCAGAACCTGGAAGAGTCGGCAGAAACCAGCGGTTCCTTCTCCGTTCGCCGCTCCAGACGCCTGGCGTCATTTCCCAGCCGCTTCGCCAAAAGGTTGCGGCCGACACGAGCAAAGGAGGAAGAGGGGAAGGAAAAGGATGAGAATCACACAGACAGACTCCTGCCCACCCAGGCTGGAAGGGGAACGACGACGGAGGCGCAGCCAGAAAAACTGACATCTAACGATGGCAGCAATCCCTCTGAGCTGACCAAATCCTGCTGCCATGGTTAGATCACCAAACACACACAAAGGCTGCGTCTACACCACTCACTTCATAGCCAACTTCACTTTAAGCAATACTAAATTTTGAGCAATAATTTTTTAAAGGGAAAAAAATTTTATTTGATGCTTTGAGTTGAAAAAAGAATATTTTGATTAATAAAATAAGATTTTCTGATGAGATTTTTCTTCTCCTGGTGTATTCATAATCACATAATATTGTAACAATATCATATTCATGTTGCTGAATTGCTGTCCTTTGCTATCATTTAAACTGCGGGCCATTTATTCGGTCATTCCCTCTTAAGATGGTGACTTAAAGTATTTCTCCTTATATTTACAGGTGAGCAGTAGTAATTGTCACCCTGTTCTAACCGAGGTCTTATTCTAATTTCAGAAAAGCGAGCCTGTCTCTGTCTGCCCCTCAACCCAAAGTCCACAGGGTAAGTATCTGTGAAAAGCACCTCCTGTTTTGCGTCATTGATTTTAGGTGCTTTTTGTCCAAACAGTGCTACAGGCTTGCTAAAACAGTAAATGGTCCACATTCTGGAAAGTAACAGGGTTGAAAGATAAAATACATCCCGGTTTGGAGTTATCAGGAAAACGTGTAATTAAGTTATTTCAGAATATTGCAATGACGATATTAATGACTGTAAAAAAGAAAAATCTTATTCTTGACCATCATGTCAATATTCACTCTTTGTGAAACATCTCACACATGAAGTGTAGGCGTCAAGAACAGTGAAGGACTAAACAGACCAAATAAAATACTCCCATGCAGAATTTGCATGCATGATACTTGAAACATAAAATCCAACTTTAAAAGGTGAAAATATCTCCATTATTTCCAAAGATATGTAGGATATTGATTGTCAATTCTAATATACACTTTAGCAAAATTATAAACAAATATTAATTTAGTAGTAGTTTTTAATTGACTCTTCACCCCACAATTAGCTGCTGTACTGCTACTATTAGCTTGCTAACTGCTATTAGCTTGCTTGCCAACTATTTTAGTTCTCACATATTGACTGTTTTTTGTAACCCATTTTACTTCCGAACAGCATTTTTTTTTCTATTTTGTAACCAAGAGAAAAGTGTAGAAGCTTTGATTCAGACAGCAGGCCGGCAGTGCACAGCAACAATTGATGGAGTTGCAGAGCTGGAATCTCATTGCAAAGACTTCTTTCAGCACCCAAAATTATAATGGTTTAGTGAAAGTGTCAATTCTTAAAACCTTGGTGTCCCATGAGAGTGATAAGGAATATGCTTGCTTTACAATCAAGGTGACATTCTGGGTTTCTTACTAGATTTGACTATAAAGGTCAATTTTGAACAAAATCTAGCTAAACTGACATATCTACACTGATTTTCAAAAATCATCTTTTCAATTTGCAGCGAAAAGGAAAATAAATAAATAAATAAAAACACTTTCTGGTCTCAAGTAGTCTTGAGACTTTTCAGGATCTTTTCCCATGTGGTTTTTCTTCCTGATATCTTATTTACTGAAAACCAGAACCAACGAATGGAGCACATTTAATCTAATACTGCAATAATATGGAGCAGGTTCCACTGATCATGAAATAATATAAAGCTTGCTAACATAAATTACAGTGTTAATCACCATCTTTTTTTGTATATTGCAAAAATCATAAATAAGCCATTAAATCCCATTCCTTACACAGCCTCAGACATATAATGCAGAGCTTAATTATCAGGTATTGTTGAGAAAAGCTCTTCATAAATGAGTAATTAGCATAACGCAGTACTTGGGGCATAACAAACAAAACCGGAAACACTGTCCTTAGATGTGCTTCACGTCATGAGCTCCAAACTTGTTGCTAACTTACAGCAAAAAGGCTTTTTTTCATTAGTGTCAGTTTGCATGGTTTGCAGGCATGTTCCTATTTTTGTTTGTGTGATGTCATTTATCTGCATGCAGTAAGTCACTGCTTTCTCTGTCCTTGTTGTTCTATTATTCTCACAGGACTAAAAGAAAATTAAGTCACAGATTCAACTCAGATTTAATAAAATCCTCAACCCTAATATATTCATTTACTTTGAGCTAAGCTGTTCTTTCTGATTTGCTATTTGATACAAAATTTGCATCAGAAACTGTATATTTTATTTACACTTTTGGTCGTAAACCCTGAACCTTTTCCTCAGCAAGAATCCATCCATCTTCTAAACAAATCCCTCTAAAGGACATCAAAAGAGAAGAAATTTATTTCTTTTTTTTTCTATATTTGGTGTTTTCTGTGGAGGGTAATTGATCTCCCTGCCTGAAGCCAATCCAGTCTGCACGCCCACTTCCTTTCATTGCAACCAGAGCAACAGAAACTGACAGCCACCAACAGCAGGAGGAAGAAAAGCAGTGGGGACAGTAAAGCACATATGGCTGTGTTGATAAGAAATGAGATGCGCAGCAAAGAGCCAGTACTGTTCACACAAAGGCAAATAATTCAAATTCAGCAGACATCAGCCTAAACTGTTCTGTTATATTTAAAGAGGCAAAAAGCCGAGACTCGAAACTTATTGAGGGACTGGTGTTTTCTGTTTTAAGCCTGCAACATATTCCGACATGACAGAGCGAGCTGAAAATTATCTGCTTTGATCTGTCTCTTCACCAGAGAGCCCCAGTTCAGCACCAGGCCTTATGAGCAGACGCTCAGTGTGGATCTGTGTGGAACAGCAGGTAATCTCATCTCAGCTTCACTGGCTTATTTGTTGTCCATCTACTCATGTCGCCGTCGGCTGGTTACACATCTAAAACAAAATGGTTTGTGATGGAGTTAATGGGTGACTATGAGTCACAGAGGGGTTTTTCCTAGAGGTTTGGATGTGTCAATGGATCTGAGAGAATAATGAAGCATTTACTGGAATATACTTGATCAAATAATCCATGTGACTTACAGACATACTGTATTTTCTGGCACCTTATCTGATAATGCTACAACCCCCTTTGCTAAAAAGGCAACACTTATTCTTCTAAGACTGGATCACATATTCCTCTTTGAACAATTTCTCTTCAATCCAGAGTCACAAATTAGGATTTAAGTCTGAAGACCTGCTGAAACACTCAAAATAAGACTCCAAGATTCAATGCACGATTAGGGGTTCCCAACGTTGGTTTCGGCCCTCACATTGTGCGATGAATCAACAATTTTAGGGTGTTGAGATTCTTTAATAACTAAACTAATTCACAAAAATTTACATGGTAAAAAGCATATTTTTACTGTAAATGTAAGAAGAAGAATAAATAATAAATTGATTTTTTTCTTAAAACATTTCATCATGACATGGTGTTGTGATCAAAGATATTTATTTTAAGCATTTTTCATGCATATTTGCCAAATGCGGCAATGAGTATTTTGAAAATATAAAAAGATTTGGTTTATGTGCAAGTCAATATCTTAGAGGAACCAACCAACATCTAAACTGTATATTTTTCCTTCTCACTCAGGTCTCACCCCTCCAACCACTCCTCCTCACAAATCTGTGGAGGATGAGCTCTTTAAACCGACAGACGGAGGAAAGTGCGGCAGCAGCAGTGATGGTGGAGGTGGCAGTGAGTCTGTCCACCCAGCATCAAATACTAACATCAACATTACCGCAAAGGGCTCAACCTGGCTGAGTCGCTCCCACCACCAGAGGAAGCTTCCAGAGCAGACAGAGCTTTATGCCCAGCTGCGGCGCATGGGTCAGGCGGGAGAGGGCGACACCCAGCGCACCTTCGGTGACCATGACTACTGCGCGCTTAGTCTCGGGGAGAGCCGGAAGCGTAGCGCTGCCATGCTTGGCGCCATACTCCAGACCCAGGAGGGCAGTGAGGGAGATGGCACCCAATCATCCAGTGTGGTGGATAATCAGGTTTTAGATGAAAAGGTCCAAGAGAGCGAAGAGGAGCGCCTTGTGATGACAGAAGTGGTTGAAACGCAGGAGCAGCAGACGACAATGGTGTTATCATCATCACCGCCATCAGACTGCCAGTCAATTGCTGCAACGCCTCCAGTTTCTGAGGAAGAGGCGGAGCGCTCATCGGCATCTCGCTCTCCCTCACCCATCCTTCACATGTGTCCTGACTCTCCCTCCAGCAAGACAGACTCCAGGTGAGACAGACTTCAGAATAAAGAGAAATATTTCTAGAGACTGGACTCAAAAAAACAAAATCTACACTTTTTTGCACAGACACTAAAGTTACAAGAGTATTTTGATTGTCACATGCAGTGCACCACCCTCATCAGACCCAACATACACAAACATTTTAAGTGGCATGTATTGTTTTTTTTCTAAATAATCCTTATAGCTCACAGTAGCTATATTCATGCTGTTTTTAAAACCAAACATAAATTACCTGGAAACACAGAGGAGAGTTGCCAAAGAGTGATGAGGTTACTTGTATAGCTATGCAAAATACAGTGGCCAGTGGTGACAACATAATCCCCAGCTTCAGTTTGAATTCATGAAATGCATATTTAAAATGTGATTTATTGATGAAGGAAAAGAAAGTCAGGAGAATTTCCACCTAAAGCCATACCTTGGAGACCTAACAAACCGGTGGAGGATCTTGGAAGTTCTGCTTGCTATTCTCTTCAGAATGTTTGGAAAAAACTTTAATTCAAAACCATTATAAATCATATATTTGAAAACATTCAGGCAGGGGTAATAACTTCTGCTCTGTTTCTGGCCATGCATTTTTACTCAGGCATCAGTCCTTAATTTTTTGCCAACAACTGTGTCATCAGAATGCTTTAAATCTGGAAACATGCACTTTGTTTGCAAGTTTAACAAAGTGTCATTTCATGTTTTATTGCAGTACAGTATTGTAGCTGTCAGTTATTTCAAAAAGCTAATAAACTAATTTCTCACAACAATTTGGGTTTCACTGTAAATGCTACATATGTGACAGATGGGATGGAAGATAAAATACTCGGATAGCATTTGCACCTAAATATCCAGTCCTTCACTTGACTATCACAGAGGGGAAAGAAACTATGTTGTTTGACTGTGAATCATCATCCATATATGGTGGTGTCTTCCTGTTTTTATAAGTAAAAATGCCCTTTGACAGAGATGGTTCCAATTATATTCACACTAACTGCTTTTGGATTGTACAGCCCCTCGTTCTGATTCATAATTTAACATATAACCACTTGACATTTTATGTTTTTACCCCTCAGTCTCTGCATTTAGCCCTGTGCATTGGATTGTGAAGCAGAGGAATTCATTCGGTTAATGCATTGTGATTTGTAGCATGTAAGAAAAAAAAACACTCAAACGGAAGCTGTACTGTCCAAGTTAATAAGGTCAAAAGTCGTGTTTGTTTTCACTGAATGTGAAGATATAAGAAGGAAAATGCTGGAGCATCACTCAGATTTCAGGCAGAAGTGTTTCAATAGGTGGCCTTTCACAGAATGAGGTCAGTAGTCATGTTATGTCATACATTATGACAAGGAATGTAACAGTAAGAGACATAATACAGAAAGATACTTTTTTGCCACCAGTTGGAGACTTGTGTTGGATGTGGTTCACCTGTTTCTAGATATCTCACATTGCAGTTTCCCACCAACTCACTGTCTTCCTCCCTGTCTTCTTTGTTCTCCTTCAGTGAGAATTCTGAGAGCTGTACGGACGACAACCAGGAGAACAAGGACAAGTCTGACGAGGTACACACCCTTCACATTCTTCAGCCTCATTCAAACTAAAAAATCCTTTAAAAGTCTAATTAAAGTCTGCTTGGCTTTGACGAAGGCCCAGATCAACGCTAGTCAACGGTTTAAAAGAACAACAAACATATTGTCATTGGATCTAAACTGCTTGCACACCTGTCATTTGTTCTTATAATTGCTGTGGTTTCCTATTTGCCAGGAAAACTGCCAGGTTTTTTACATCCATAACCTACCAAGCAGGGTGACCGAGAACATGCTAAGGAGGCGCTTCCAAGTTTTTGGCAATGCAGAGGACTGCAAAGTCATCATCTGCAATGAGTAAGTGTCCCAATCTGGATTAACTTTTGTTTTCTGAAGAGACACAAAAGATTTTGCAACGGTGCTAGTTATTGCGGATGAAGAAGATTCTGCACAAAATAAAAAGAGCAATTGGTTCTGTCTATATTGGAGGTTCTGTTCACATTGCTGTCCTTGACTCAGACTAGGACGGCAGAGCTAGAGATGGTTGTCAGATACTGCTTCTTGACAAGTGAACATAGTGTGGTGTTTTCTCTCAGGATTTGTAAAATATAAACACAAATTTAAAAATGCTGCTAAAGAAAATCCCAAACTTTTGTAGTCTAGAATTTGTTCTTGTAGCTATTTAATATAAAATGCTTCCTTAAAGCTAATACACCAGTAGACATTACAATTCAATGCACTTTCAGTTCACACTCTTGAGTAATAGGTTTCATTGATATATTTTTCCTGTGTGTTTTTTTCTGTGTGGCTGAAGGGAGCGCTGTGGAGTGATAAAGATACGTCAGTCGGGGCCTCAAAGACATCGCAAAGAACGAGAGATTGTTTTCCAGAATGCCCCTCCAGCCCTACGGAGGCTAACAAGGAAACGCTACATAGACCTCGGTAACCAAAATACAAACACTCAAATCTATTATAGCCAATCCTAGAACTGGAAGTTATTATTTCATTGAGGTTGTTATTTCAAGCTGTATTAAACTGATAAATGGACCATTGGACCAGAATATACCCCAAAGTAACTAAACTATTGAGTGGTGTATCTGAGAAACAGCTACATATTAAGAAAAAAACTGTTTGTGAATCACTAAGAAGCTCTTTCCTAATGCATTACCCACTTTTTTAAAATTGGAAAATAATAATTTTTATAATATGAATATTGATAATAAATTATCTCAAAGCTCAAATAAGACCATAAACTGAGTAGAGACTATAGTCACAAGTCAAGTACAATTTGTTCTTAAAGTTTTTTGAAAAAAAATAAATAGAAACTAAATTCAAACACGTACTTGACTCCTACCTGCTTCCTGCTGCTCTTACATTCAGTTTTACGTACGGTCTTCATATTAGAAAGCATCTATACATACTTAACTTATTTGTGTCACCTACAAAGCAATTAGACAATAAAATAGACTTCTTGTAATGTGAGGTACATTTTGCTCATCAAAAAATGCATGTATCAGAAGTTGTCAGAATGACTGATGATGCAGATTTTTACATTAGCTCTGTGACCTTATTGAGGCTGTAAATGTTTCAGGCTTGATTTCTACAAGGACCTTTTGTGACCTCAATATGTTTCTGTGTTTCAGATGAAGCTGGCCCTGGCCCTGTCAAGAGTAAGTATGATGCACTGGACTTTGACACTCTGCTGAAGGAGGCCCAGAAGTCCCTGCACCGTTGACAGTCCAGCAATGCTGGCTGGCCAGCCTTAGTAAACTGCAGCAGAACCCCTTAGACAACAAGGGACTGCCCACAGTACCTCTGTGCAAGGCAACCTCGCAAAATGTTTACATTTTTACTGTTGGAATAACGTAACAAGGACCTTGATTTTTTAAGTCTCTTTCACCGGAGCATACTGCTAAAAAACAAGGAAGTCACCATGAGGAATTAAGAGACAGGAGGGAGAAAAAAGGACTTTAAACAGCAATGGTAAAACAGCTAAAAACAACAATGATACAGTTATCTGAACAAAGGTAACAACAAAGCTGCTTCCTGTCTGTGCTGGTGTCGTCTTTGCCCTGCCTTGGAAGAACGGGCATAAAAAACCTGTAGCAAATCCTTGCTATCCCTGCGTTGCGTTGGTCGTTGTAGTGTGTATCGTTGCGTGTGCGTGTCCTTCACTCTGTTTGTTTTGTAAGCAAAAAAAAGAAGAGAGAAAACCTCCCTTTTTTCTGGTCACAAATGGTGAACCTGCAGGCTGTGTTTGCTTGTCTGGTCATATAACCAGGATGTGAAAAAAAAGTGTTTTGTTTTAGCAAATAATTGTATCTGTTATAAATTTTAAAACTTACTCTGTGTGAGTGCGTGTTTGTGTGAGTGCGTATGTTTGTGGGTGTCTCATGGACAAAGTATATAACAAACACATTTAATGTAATCAACGGATGACTGATAAAAGTTTACAAACCTAAAATGAAGAAAAAAAGTCATGTTTTCTTTTTTGTAATTGTAGTGCTTCCTTGATTTGATCTATGCACTGTAACAGAGGTAAATGTCTCCTCTGTCCCCCTTCTGTGTCTAACTCTGCCATGCTAAATATTTAGCTTCTGCTACTGGCTGCTGTAGGCTTTGTTTAGTGAATGCTTTACACACAAAAACCCTATTTAACCTATATTTTATTTTAACATTGTTCATATTTTTACAACCAATTTAGACTGAGGAAGGGTTTTTCTCTAAAAAAAAACACTTAGGTTAAAACCTTACCTTTGCCTTTGGATAGATTTACAAATACATTAAGATGGCCATTGATTTGGAAAAAATTTGGATTCTCTGATTTATGTTTAAAGGCAGAAATGTTAAAAAACTGGATTTGACTGCAACTAAATGTCAAGTAATTTCATAACCTGAATTAATTTTAGGATTTAGAGCAGTGTGAGTAAAAAGACCACAATTCATACTACTAACTAAACATTAAAACTAAATGTTTGACATGATTTTAACACCAATACATTTGGCTTTAGATTAAAAGTAAAGAATATTATCCCTTTTCAATGTTTAGCTCTTCATAGCAAAACCCAAGTATAAGAACCTGTTAGGTATTTTCCTTGAACCTACAATAAAATAACCACAGACAACGTATATGAATTAAATATGGTCAGGCTTCTGCAGAAGGAGAAATCCCGATCAACAGCTCCTCCGGGCTGGTCAATAGAGAGTTCTGATCTGCTTTCACGTGAGCTCCCTCTTTATTGTCAAAGCATCAAACAACAGAGGTCGTAAAACATTTAACACAAACAGACCAACAACTCAGTTCCAGGTGTGATATCTAATTTACAATCTGAGCCCAGTTCAGCTCTGGGTCAAACTGTCACCTAAGACCGGGTAGATAAACACCAGAGAAAACTTTAGGGTCTGAGAACCATAAAGTTTTACTATCTCGCATGAAGACAGTCGTAACCTCCAGGTCAGTTTATACTAAAATCACAATAATACTTTAGACTGAATATAAACTAAAGTAACAACAAAATGATAATGTTAAAAAATATCTAACAGAACCTGATATCACCTGATTAATGATTAGTTGGGTTGTCTGCTGAGGTAGCTATCCTGCTATCTGTTGCCATCTCTCTTAGCTTGCCAACTTTGGTTTAAAGCACAGCTACTACAATAACAGAGATAGCTTAGACTCATTTAGTTGCCATGTCATTCTTGTCATTGTTTTCATCATCAGACATCTTTACAGCTATATTTGACTTTGTTGTGCATGGGAGAATCATAGTAGCTTTTTCTTTTGGTCAGCTGATTATCAGTGTGGGCACTTTCTCTGGAATCTCAATAATAATTCTTTACACTATACAACAGGTGATATTGGCTTACTTTTTACAAGAAAATAACCCATTTGGAGGTATAAGTTTATCGCAAGTTGAAACCCGACTTATAGACAGAACTAAACTAAAGGAAAGCTGGGTTATGGATTACATATTTATTTTTAGGGAGTAAAACAAACTCCCTTATTTGACTGAGTTTAAGGAGATTTTTAAAACTCCTTTAAAGTCATTAGGCTTGTTTACATGGCCTTTATTTAGACAAAAATTTTGACAAATCCTTTATTATTTATGAGTAAAACATTTTGTTCCCTGGAATGTGCATCACTTCAATTACATGTAGTTTAACATGCAAAAGGAACAAGTGCATCAAGCACAACAGGAATTTATTTTATAGCAACATTTGGTAGTTTGTCATTTCTGAGATTTTTGTTATGAGTTCAAACATAGGAAATGGTTTTGCCAATATGAAAATTTGGGCCAATATTAATATATAAAAATATATATTTTCAAATATCTATCACATTCAATTGAGTTAATACTGAGTACAACATAAAGTATTGGTCTTTAAATATATTGTGTTTATTTCGGTTTAGTGAAGTGTTTGGTTTTATAAGCACAAAATGCATTACCCATTAATACACTACAGTCATAGATGGAGTCAGAATGTATTTTAAGAAGCTGAATGTAATCATCGTGTTGTCCCCACACAAAGATTGTGGAGCGATGTGGTGCTTCAAAAGATGGGTTTGCTTGATAATTTCAGACTGGATCTGGTTAGCAGCTAGTTTACATTCCAGCAGCAGCCAGCAGCAGCATGCCTTGACAAACTTAAGAGAGTCTCTGAATCCTGCCAATCTGGTGGCATCAACTCCCCACCAATAATGCAGCCAGGAAGCTGGCAAGGGATCAGCTGATTAAGAACTAAGAAAGTAACCGGCTGAGAATTCAATTTCTCATCATCTACCGGGTCAGATGAGCGTCTCTACCTCACATCCCTTCATCCAGGTCCTGACCGTATTTTTGTTTCGCGGTTCTCCTGAACGCTCTCCCGCCTCCTCTGTTATCACAGCATCAAAAGTTTGTTTTCTTGAAGATTAAAGCTTTAAAAGCTGATAAGGGGTGTAGGGTTGAAACCCGACTCATGGACAGAACCTATAAGGGGTACAGGTTTAGTTTCTAAGCTCCTTGTGACAGAAGTGATCTCTTTTTGTAGTCTGTCCTCCGCTTGCCTCATAACAGTGTCCGTTTGTTGGAGTCTCAACGTTGTATCCTCGTGTAATTGAATGTTTTGTCTTTGTCTCGTGTTTGAGTTGGACACTGCTGACGCTTACGGGTCAGTGAGAGGTTGAACAGCAATCTGGTGGACTGGTTGTTCCTTGTGTGCACTTCATTAGTGAAGATTCAAAATATTGTTTTCATGTTGTCTTCAAGGAAGTGCCACTCCTCCTGTTTTTATCTGCTCACCCTCTCCTTGCCTAGGACATCCAGTAAAAACGCAGCCTAACTCTTTCTCCATCCTTAACTTTCTCTCTTTGTGGGTTGAAGACCTCATATTATCCAGGTCTCCCCTCACAAATTTCCCACTTTTTACCAGATAATCTTCCCATCCTGGTTCTTGTCTTTTCTATCTAAACCACATCTTGGTAACACACACACACATACACAAAAAAATTGAATGTTTACATCACTTGTTTCTCCTTTGACTTTATTAGGAACGCACACTAAGTACAAAGGCGCCTTATTCAGTGCTTAAAAATGAAATAACAGCAAGTCAAGATTCTGGAGTGGATGCCTTCCTCTCCAGGCTCACAGATGTCCAAAACTAACACTTTAGTGCTATACATACTGATTGAAAACAAGGTGTCGTCTGTTAAAAAGGACAAAAAAAAACAACAACTTGTGAACTGAGTAAGGTTTTGTGCTTAGTATGTATACTACTAAAAAGTGAGAGAATGTGCTGGTTTACATGTTAAAAAGATAATATATGAATATATAATGTGTACATAGCACTATGCCTCATTGTAAACATGAAATTTATTGTGTGTTCTTATTTTATTTTACTTTTTGGTGGTGGGTCACACTTGATTACTAATAAGACAGGAGATTTCAGGTCTGTTTTGTTCCAGTATGTTAATTTTGTTCAGTATACAGGGAAGAAATGAAGGGAAAATCCCAACTTCACACAAAGTCCAACACAACACTGTAGCAAAAAGGAAAAATCAAACAAAAAAACAACAACAAATGAAAAGGTATCACCATAGATAATCACGCTAGAAGGCTGTATTTTGTATCTTAATGTGGATTTTGTTTATGTTGTTTTCTTAAAAAGCAATTTTCCGATGCAATACGTAATAATCTCGACAGCCTTTGTGAAAAACGGAGGTAATAATGTACAGTGTGTGGTTGGTTGTTGAGCTAATACATGGGCAACTGTTAAGCTGCGGATTAAATAGGCTGCTGTACTGTATGTAGACTGCCATTTTAAAAATAATCTACAGGAAGAATGTGGTCATAAAAACAGAAAAACGGAACAAGCTGTTCTAACGTTTTCACTGCACAAATCGTCCTAATTGGTGAACTACCTTCACTGTATTTTCTTCTTGTAAGCTGTTGTAACTATATTATTACCACCTTTTGATGATGCACAGATTTGGTTTGAATCAGAGTTGCTTAAAGCACTTACTTTACAGCCAATAACTATACAGTTCATGTATATCTCTGGTAAAGGAATGTGGCAGGGAGGTGTTGATGAAAAGCTGGTGAATATTTTCCAACAGCCGATGTTGGCACTGTAGAAATCCTAGTTTCACTGCTGCACCTTACTTTGGATCGAAAAAGGTCGACATAGGAGGGTACATTCTTCTTGAAAAACATTCAGGCAATTATCCAGTTCAGGTTTTCCTTGCAGATGACCAGTCGATAACGTAAAGGAGAGATATACTGTCTTTTCATGTAAATTAAAGTTCAACCTTGAGCCCGCAGTACTGCTATGGTTTCTACAGTGACTGCCTCTGTGCCTGTGAGGCTTTTCAAGGGTTAAATGAAATCGGATCAATCCCATGTCTAACATGGTAAGCCTTAAAAATCAGTTTGGGGGGAAACTAAGCTATCATTAGCTTTTAATATTACTATTTAAACTTCTTTCCAATCCAACGTGGTTTATTATTAAATAATTACTGACGTAATTTTTTCAATAGCCATATAATAAAAAAAAGTATATACATATATATGAATATATATATATATATTTGTGTGTTTGTGTAGATATCTAGATTATTATATACTTTCTTATAGAAAACTTTGATGTGGGTCATTCTTCGCAGTGTTTTGAGAACACGTTGACACATTTCAACATTAATAACTGCTGTCTATTTGGTCTAGGTGCTAGGTCAATAGGCAGCGAATCCAAATAAATAAAAAAAAAAGTTATTTAAAAAAAAACTTCCAAAGGGAATTACCCTCATAAGAATGCAATATCTTTCTTTCCACTCTTCATTTCAGAAAAAAAAAATGGAAAATGGTGAGAAAACAAACTTCTTAATAGGCAAGCTGACCAAAAAAAAAAGTTAAGATAAAGAGCAATGATTCACACCAGGGGTTGTGAACAAATGTGAAAACGTCCTGAGATTCAGTTCTAGATGTTGCGCTTTTAATGCCATGGCTCGGTAAAACTTTGTGTCACTCACTGTTTGTTTTAAGCCATGAAATTATCCCCGACCACGACAGGAGTGCTTGCAATATGGTCCGAGTTAAAATGAAGTGCTCAAAGAACATAATGGCTAATCTGACAAACTAAAAGGTGACACTGATGTCAAACAGATACTTATTTGGGACTGTAAACTGTCAAATCTGCTTATTATATTTTTTTCTTTGTTGTTTTGGGGGGTGGATATAAAAGGGCATATGTTTATGTTGTTTTTCATTACTGTTCATTTCACTGTCTCTTTACATCTAATGACTATCAAATTCAAAAATGATTTTTTTTTCTTTTTTTAACCTAGTTTTTTTTTGGTAAAACAAAAAAGTAAATACTGCTAGTGAGATTTTATATTTTTACATATGTTTGTTTTATTTCATGTTTTCTTTTTCTTTTTTATTTATATGCTACTTAGTTTTGATGTCTTCAAAGGGTGTTTTTTTTTTTCTCTGTTGTGTAATTTCATATTTCTTGAGAATGTGGAGACAGAGGCATTTCAGTATTTTTGAATTGTTAAAATCTAGTTTCATAGAAGCTAAAGTATCTGATGTTATAAATTATATTTTAATTCATGTAAATAGTTTAAAACAGACAACTATGGCTTCCTTTTAAACTGAATACATTTCTCTTCAGAGATTGTTTACATTATGAAACTGTAGAGATGTGCTCCTCATATACTGTATAAAGTACATATATTCATTGATTTGCCTCCAAAAATAAAATCCTAATGAACAACATTCTGGCTTTGCTTTTGTTTATTTATCAAGAAACACAATAAATAAATATATTCTGCCTAAATACGGTGCTGCTGGCCCCCCAACTCAATGTTTACACTCGCACATAAAAATGACTGCCGAAAAATTTATACAACCAGATCTTTGAAAAGCAGAAGTAGAGCCTCCTGCACAGCACACTTGTCTTTTACAGCACATAGAGAGGTGACATAACCTGACCAAACTTTCTGATGCTCAGTTTGGCTCACTATGTGATTGGCTGTATTTCATTGGGGTTGCTAGGTGATAGGCAGTGCCTGCTGATTGGCTCATTTTGCACACAACAAAAAACATGAACTTATTCATTGTCTAAAAGTGGCTGTGTTTTTAGAAGCAGTAGAGACCTAAATGGAATTTCAGAAATGTATAAAATGTGAATTTTGATAAATACGTCCACTTCAAAAAACAATTAACACTAAGTGGGTTTAAAAATCTGAGATCTGATCTATAAATTGAGAGGGCCTTGTAATGCAAAACAAAAACCTGCAGTGGTTCAAGTGCTTTGCAATTTGGATAAGGAAAGCTAGGGGTTAGATATTCACAAGAACTGTAGTTATTATTTGGTCAGGGATTAATTAATAAATATGAATGAAAAAAGATTGCTACGCCTCGTTGCCCAGTCCTTTGAGGAATGTAAAAATTTAAATAATTAGAAGGAGTTGAACCATTTTTATGAACGTAATCCTCTTCAGTCAGCCTTATTTTTTGTGAGATTTTTATGATTTGCTCTTTTTAGGTTAATTTTAATCCATTTCATTTTAGCTGTGGGCAAGACCCTGTCTCAGTCTGGGTAATGGATGGATAACTACATAAGCAGCAGAGAGGTGTATTAAAGTGCAAACCTGATAGAATTTGCAGAGGTTAAATGTCACCTTATCAGGTTCTGCAGTTTAAATGCTAACAGTTCCAGCTTGTTTGTTTACAGATGCTCTTCACACTGCAAGAACAATCGGACGAAGAATCAACTTCACAATGTCTGTGGATTGTCTTTACAAATCTGCATTCTCTGGTTTTCCAGCAAATGCAATGCCACGCTAACAGACGTTCACTATTTTCAGTCCTTCTTTGGTTAACAACACCCTATTAACCCTCCTGTTGTCTTCGGGTCATTTTGACCCGAAGACAACAGGAGGTTAGTTTTTTTTCGTCAAGTTCACATTTGAATTGCTCCAGCAGAAAATTCCATCTGAGTTGTGAACACTGTAGGTCTGATTCAGGACTGTTAGATTTCAAGTTTCTGTATGCAGTTGCAATTAAAAAAAATTTTATAAGGGCTTGTCCTCGGGTCATGTCAACCCGAGGGCAACAGGAGGGGGGGGAAATTTGAAAAGATATCAGTTTTACGGAGATCAGTGATGCCATTCCATACTGTTTGCCTGTCCAGCTGTGATTTCCTTAGTCTTCCGGTCGTCTGACCTGAGGCCTGGGTTTACTTATTTTTATTTCTTTTGCAAAGTTCACATTTGAATTGCTTGAGCCTAAACTTCCCCCTGAGTTGTGCACACCGTAGTTCTGATGCAGGACTGTTAGATTAAAGTTTCTGTATGCAGCTGCAATTGAAAAACATATTTTTTAAGGGCTTGTCCTCGGTCGACATGAGCCGAGGACAACAGGAGGGTTAACAGGCCGCTGGCAATTTTCCGCCTGGATAGACAGTGATTCACATGTCAGCGACCGCACGAATGATGTGCACAGAAGATCCCTCCACCAGCAATGCTGCATGGATGGTCTCTTATTTCTTGTCTAACATCACCAAAAACTGGAGTATAATTTTATCATGTGGAATTTGTTGTAACTTTAGGTGCCGAACAAATGTGACCCTTTCAACTTTTTTGAGTCACAGCAAAGCAAACTACTGCTAAGTTTCAGCAGCGTGTCTTTTACTTACTTGTTTCTAATCTCTTTTAAATTTCTGAACGCATTCAGATAAATATAACAGTAATTTATGAGCTATTAAAGGTCATGTTAAAACAGCTATTTGCAGAAGTATTAACCTTTAAATCTGGTGACTGTAAAGCTAAAGCCAGAGGAGATTAGAAATCATGCTGTCAGCCATTTCCTGTCCTGCTATCCTCTGTACAGCTGTTACTGTGGGGTAGTCGTGACTGCAGCAAAAGAAGGAGCTCTGCACTGCAGAGATATCAGACACACAGCTTTATCCCCCATGAGGTTCGAAGTAACGGACAGAAACATCAGGAGGAGGACATAACCTCGAAATCCAAACCTCATAATTTCGCCTGTCATGTTGTTTTGTAAACAAATTTGAAAGTCCTTTAAAAATGGAATCTAATGGCAGTCAGACTTATACTGGTGTGAAAAAGTACTTGCCACCTTAGGATAGTTCTGTTTTTGTCACATTTATGTGATTCATATCAAACAGATTTTATTAACAAAAATGGTAAAAAATAACTAACAATGAGTTTTTAGTTTCAACTAAGTTCATGACACACCTTTTGAAACAGATTTGAGTTGTGATTTGATTTGACCGCTGTGCCACGGTCCTCATACAGGCCTGTGATTCTAATGTAAGCAGTACTTTAAACAAAGCAAAAGTGATGTGTGTCAGCATATTTTGCATCAGATTAATATGGATTGACTTCAGTCCCCCCTTACATGTCGGAATCTTTCATTTGAACTCAAGGTGAAACTTAAAACATGTGGATCAAGGAGCTAAAGGTCCATTTGAAAGGGTTCTTGAATTTTATTAGCTGGAGAAAAAAATATTTTTAGAGCCATTAGTCTACTTCAAGATATCAGACAAGGTTCTATTTAAGTGGTTTCATAGGTTGAGCAGATATTAGGTTATAGTGAGTAGTTAGTAGGGTTTTTTTTTACCCTTAGTAAACAATAAGTGAACAGGAAAAAATAAGAAATCTGCTCAAGACAAGTCAATTTTTGGCTGTGTACATTAATTATTGCTCAACTTTTTAAGTTTTATTTTTTTATTTTTTCAGTGTCCATTGTATTTACCTTTGCAGTTCATGAGGTTGTGGTTAATTCAGTTCTTGCTCTTTATATATTATTTTCCCAGATTCGTTGTTACTGTTATTAACTTTGCATACTGACTTGATACTGTCTGGCAAAAATTGAGTACATCATGTGCAAATTTGCCCTAATGACATGTTGAACATTATATTCTATAATAGAAACATCAAGATACGCTATACCTAGCACTGTTGCTCATCTGAGCAATAATATGCTCCACTCACATATTTCTCCAGAGAGGTGCTTCAGCACCTGCCACTGCATGAGTAATGTCTTTCCAAATACTAATAAATGAGTTAGAAGTGTTTTGTTCCACAACATAAAGCATATGTTATTTGCTTCTGTTTCCAGTTTTTTCTAAAAAAAATAAAAAATAACTTTACATAGGAAAATATATATATTGTTGTATATAACAACATTTTCATGTCCTGATTTTGAAGATAAAATTGTACAGGATATGGTTTTGAAAATCCAAATCTTAAAAGTGTCCACTCTAGTAGTTTATGAAATCATTCTTTTGCTAATGTTTTTGCTAAAGTTCAAGAACTAAATGGCTCTTGGGTCTGGCTGGAGAGTGTGTACATCAGTTTTCGCTCTTGTCACAGATTTTCAAATGGACTTCAGTCAAGACTTTGAATGAGCCATTTAGTACATAGAAAATCTTAGATAAACCAACTTAACTAAAACTACTTTGAAGAATCATTCCTAAATTTCTGAATGTGCCAAGACAATGTTAGAAGCAGGGGACCAAGATTTAGTTAGTAACTCAGTCCTGTGCAGTAATGAAGTTCAATCAGATGCAAAAGGTTAGAAGAAAAATGTTTGATTCCACAAAAAAAAATATTAACTTTTACTGTGGGTGACTGATTTGATCAACTTATACACCAGCTGCAGAAGTTAAAAAACAAAGGAAGATCTATTTTCTAAGTAAACATTTTAAAATCTTCAATATTTCCGATCTATAACTTCAAGAAAAAATGTGTTGGCTATGAGCACGCATTGTTCACAAATATGTTTTCTCCCTATTCATTTTAAACAGTTCAAGTTGAAAATAAAAAAACTAGAGGTTATCTTATTAAATGTGTCATCTTCAGCTATGTCTGAAAAGGTTAATTATTTTGTTTGGCAGAATTTATGACTCATTGTTCTGGTAAATGTATTTTAAAGCACATTGACTTTGTACCTATGTTTTTAAAAGCAGGCAGAACAATACGTTATATAATATACAGTCATATACAGTTAAGCAATATAAATGTTTATCTCGGTCAGAAATTAAAAAAAAAAGAATAAGCTATAACCTGATTATATGTCATCGTGCATTGTTTGAAATTTATTTTCTGCTGTCTATAAATAATATTAACCCAACAACAGCTGAGAACCCCTCGGGGGATTTCAACATTGATTCATGGAGCGCTGGCGTTAGAATGCTGAACAGATGCAGGTGGAGTGGATGTATTTTAGTTTGTGATACATTTGCTTTCTGCATAGATCCTGCTCATTGCTGGAGTTGTTGGATAAGCCTCTTAAACTGTCCTCATGAGGCATGCTGATCCAAGCAGACATACACACACACATACACACACACAACATGCTCAGACTGAGATAAATTGACTTGGTTTTGTGCTTGTGCAAGGAAAATTTGAGACAATGATAAAAAAAAGGTCACATCCCATCTAGAGATAATGTTACTGGAATCTCATTTTGCTTCTTTAATATTCCTTTCTTATTTAACTGGAAGCCAACCATCGCCGTCATGTCACACTTGGGTGGGCTTTTTATTTACTTTGCAATCAAAAGTCATGTGCTGTGACACAAAAGTAACATAAGTATTGCCTTTTAAATATTGTTAGGCCCTTAATCTAACAGTCTTACAGCTTGTTTTATGGGACTACAAATAGAAATTGTCGTTTTGCTGAATCTGGTATATTTACAACAACAATGTATGTTCATCAATATTCACTTTCCCATTTAAATAAAAT